CTTCGCCACCAGGTACATTGCAACGGAATCGCTGTGCATGTTGAGGCACACGTCCTGAAAGGCTGAGTCACCAAGGGGATGCATCCAGTGCATAAACTGGGGTGGGCAACCCCTTGTCTGTTGGGGGGCTCATTTCCCTGGGGGTCACCTGCTGGGGGCCACACATCAGGGCCACCTCTTGGTGCTGGGGGCCAGAGTCGGAAGCAGCTGGAGAACCTTTTCCCCTCGTTCCTTCCTTCTCTCCCCAGGCGGCAGGGAGATGGAGAAGGGTGCATTGCTCCGTCCAAACGTGCAAACCAGTCGCATTTAGTGGGCTTCTGAAATGGAGCCAAGGGCTGTACATTGCCTGCTACGTGCTGCTCTGGCTGGGTCTTGAAAATACACAAGCCTGTTCTTGGGTCCTGGATGTGTGCAAGCTGTGGTAACACTGCATACTGTTAAGACCAGATGAAGATGCATTCAGTCTGCCCTGAGAAGCCCGACACGGGAACAAGCTGCCACGAGCAGCGTGCAGGGGCCGCGATCTGCCCTTGGGCTCCTTTCCAGAACGCAGTTTCTATTTTGATAAGCGCCAGAGGATGATCTATGTTTATTTCTTTGTCCTCTCGGTACTGGATGCATTGGGAACGGCAGAGAAGAATCATACCCCTGAATGTCTCCCAGCACCAGGGGACAAACAGAACGGGTCCATCAAGAAGATAAAGGGACTGGGGGATCTTTGGGCCAAGTAGCGCTCTGCTCAGTTTACGAGTAAATATGGAGAAGGAAAAAACCCACACACTCTCGGCTGACCTGCACGGCGCGATGAACCAGGGGGCTGGATGCTGTTCGTTCTCCAACAGCCACTCAGTGAGATTCCACACACGGTGCCGTCTGCCGTGCCGCACATTTCTTCTTGACAAACGGGACTGTCAGAAGGATAGAGGTGGTGACTTTGGGCAAGGTCACCTGCGGAGTTAGTGATGCTGAACCGAATCTAGGGGCTACTGCACACGTACATCTCTCGGGTGAGAGGCTAAGAGGAGCTCCCATGTGTCCGAGGCCCAGGGGTCCACCTCTTTCCGTGCGAGGCCTACATCCTTCGCAGAGAAGCTCCTGTGGGTGGTGTTCCACTGCAGGGCAGCGCTGAAGGCAAGAAGTCTGGGGCCCAAAATACCAACCCGTTTTTGTTCCCAGTAACCTGTCAGGCAACTTCTTGCTGCTTCTGTACCCAGAGTAGCAGCCTCCTATGCAGCCACAGCAGTTGGTAAAGGCTTTTTCTTCTTCTAATACAGTCATAGCTTAAAGGACCAGCTTGAATGGCCATGCTTGGCTGCTGCTAAAGACTTGAGGCAGTAGACTGCACCGGGCAGTTGGGTTGTGCCGGACTAGCTTCATTTGAAAATGGAAGCCTGAGTTACTTTGGAGGAAGGATGGGGAGCCTCAGATCCCTGGGCTAAATCCAGCCAACCCGGGCTCCCAGTTGGCTCCCCAGGGCTCCTAAGAGAGCCACTCCCTTTTCTTCGGAGCAACCATCGTTTGGTGGCTTCCCAGCTGTGCAGGTTTTGGGAAGTGCTTGGAAAATGGTTACCAGCTACATCAGTGCCTAGGCCAGGATGGAAAAGGCCCTTGGAAAAGATACCCGGATGCTGTTTCCTTCCTTTTCCCCAGCACAGTTGCTTTTCCAGCAGCTTGCAGGGCTGGTGAGCATCTATGGAGCATCTGTGGGCCTCCTTCTCACCTCCACCACCGTTTGGGCCAGAGAGAGAGAGAGAAAGGCAGGTGAGCCAGCAGGAACTCTGGGGCTCGGGCTGGGCATGAGCTCTTGGGAGGTGCCCAGCCCCGTGCTGCATTCTGACCTCCGGGGCTGGCACTCACGATGGAAGGGCCTTGCCAGAAGACAAAGCATGGGGAACCCCAGGAGCACGAGTTCTGTGTACGTATATTGGCTTTTCTCCAGGATGTGTTACTCTCTTGTGTTTTCTGCTTTTTCAAGTGCTCCTTGCTCTCATTTGCTCGGGCTTCCCCATCAGAAATAATCTTTCTCAAGCGCTGTCAACAAAATGAACTAAGGCCAGAGCTTTAATACGTGTGTCCCGACTGCAACTACCGCTGCTGATCTTGGCAAGGGAGTGACTTTCTGAACTTGGGCATTTGTCAGCCATTTGTTATGAGCCTTCTGGGCTTTTCATCAGTTGTTGGCCTATGAATTTCCCCCTGATTTACTGGCAAGCAATTTGCCAGTTGCTCAGTGTTGGTAGATTCAGTTCACAAATCCTTGCAAATGTGGACAATGCCTTCTTTCTTAATGTGTGTCAGAATGGCTGGGATAGTAAAGGTGGGCTAGGGATTTGGCCCTGGGGAGCAGAAAGCAGAAGAACCAGGCTCTGCGGTCAACCCAGCTTGTCCCTAAAGGTGGCCATGGGTGGATTCGCATGTCTTAACAACCCACCCTGGAAGAAGTCTGCAAGCATTCACTGGAATCTTCCCCTGTCTCCATTCCTGGTGGCCAGTTTCTTCCCTGCTTACTGCTGCTGCTGGCGGCGTTGGGCATGGAAGAATGGTGCTACTTGATAGAACTGGATTTCTGGAAGGTGCCTGGGGAACCTTGGTCTTCCTTGCAAGCAGACCGGAGTCCAGGAAACCAGGGAATCCAGCATATTCCTCACAGATTCCTTCCATACTATGGCTGTTGACCCAAAGAGGCTCCAAATAGATTATTCTTTTGCACTTTGTTTTGATTTTGACAGCTGTCAATTCAAAGCAAAGGTATGAGTAATGTTCCCTTGTGAAAAGGGGATGGAAGGATTTCTCTCCTATTGTTACTGGGATCCTCAAGATTCTCTGTGTTCCCTGATAGGTCCCAGCTTCTCAACTGTTCCATACTTTTCTGAGACTTTAGGGACTCAGGAAGAATGAAGGCCATCCATTTTACAGGAGCATGGAGGTTTGACAGCTCTCAAAACTGGTTCCTTTTAGATAGGTTTTTTTCCCCTTTCTTTCGGACAGGGTTCCCCAAAGTTTTATGAGAGGATATATGCTTGCTTAGGACCCTGTCAAAAAATCCTGAAGTACCAATTTCTCTCCCTAGTGTAAATAGGCATGCTGGAGCAATTGACCGCTCTCTCTGTGTGGCCCCAATCTGGGACATGGTGAATCAGGCAGAAGGGATTTAATCGCCCCCCCCTTTTTTCATGCTCTGATCCCCCTTCCCCAGTGGGGAATAGTTAAAAAAAGAAAAGGCAAGACTTTCCTTTTGTGTCCCTCTGCATGGGGAGGGGGTTTCTACATCAAAGCAGGGGGGAGGAAAGCTTACAAGCCTTTCTCCGATCCTGGGCTGGGCCACGTGTGTTTACCCAGAGATAGGTCAGCTATGCAGAACGGAGGGGCAGGCGATATGGCGAGGGGGGCTGAGTCTTTTGCCACTTTTGCCAGGTAGCTCTGTGGTCCTTTCCAACAAGCCGCGCATAAGCCACTCTGCCAGGTTCACACATCACGCCAAGCGACCCTGGACACAAGCCAGACTGAGCAATGCAGGAACAAGCCGTGGGTTCTCAGAGTGGCTGCGTGTGGTTAGCAGATCCTGCTGAGGAAACCGTTCTGCTTTCAAGCCACCTTGAAACAAACAAGTCTGATGTCTCTCTGTGGGTTGTCGTGTCTTGCAAATAGCATCCTTGCTTTCTGTGTTCTGACAGCCCAGATGGGCACTGGCTGAGAAACCAGGGTGGTTCAGTAGCTAGTAAAAAATCACGAATGACTGTTCAGAGGCTGCACGTAAAACCAGGATGCCTGAGGCATTGCCCTTTCTCCCAAAAGCAACTTTTGCACCCAGAGCCTTCGGGCAACCTTTCTTTGCCATCACTGTAAGTGCCACGTTTTATTCTACAGCTACTGTTTGTCCTTATCAGACCAGAACGTCTAGCTAAGGGAGGTGGTGCCAGAGCAAAGCAGAGAAAGGGATGGCACAGTGCTGAGCTTTCAAAGAGAATAATTCATGGGTGCTTGTCACTCCTGGGAGTCGCTTGACAGCAGCCAACTTACAAAGAGAATGGTTTATTAAGAGGTTGCAGCAAATTGCAAATCAATTTGGGGAAGTGTGGCACGATTTTTATTTTTAACGTTTATTTAAATGTTTATATCCTGCTTCCCCCCTTCTTGCATGGGCTTCCTCCTCTTCATTTTACCTTCACAGTAGCCCGGTGAAGTAGGTGAAGCTGAGAGTCAGAGACCAGGCCAAACCTTCAGGAAGGACTAAATCTGAGATTACCTATACTGGCTGAGGGCTGAAAGCCATTCTTAGGTTGTTTTGAAACTTCTCGAGGAAAATTTCAGCCAGAAAAAGGCTTTTCATATGCAAAATTTTTCATGTCTGGGGTCAAAAAGGTCCCCAAATACGAGTAACGATGGCTTTTTTGTGAACCCAGCATGAATCAAAGACAAAGGTGTGCATCAAGTCCCAGGTTAAATCTCTGCCATCTCCAGATATGGTCAGGGAATCAAACCCTGGAGAGCTGCTGCCGGTCAGTGTCGGCAACACTGGGCAAAATGGACCCATAGGCTGATTCAAGATAAGGCAGCTTGTTCTCTGCCTGGAACACAGGAGAGCTGGCCCTGGTCAGGACAGGTAGGCGGCCTAGCCTGCCACAAACGAGCATCCTCACAGTCTCCGATGGTTCTTGAGGCTGCTTCATCTGTAGTATGTTCAAGGGCAGCCCCTGCCTCGTCTCGGCTCACGTCTTTGACTGTTGGGCCAGCGCTGTGCCACAGTTCCCTGAACAAAACCCTTCTTCTTCTAGGCTTCACTAAAGCCAGAGAGGTCCGCCTGGCGCTGTCGTTATTTGTTTTTCGGCGCCAGGCGAAGACCTTTTTATTTAAGCGGCATTTTAATTGTTAATATTATTGGATTTTATCTGGCCGGGGCGGCTTATTTTATATTGGTATTTTTGCATTTTTAACTTAATGTTTATATTTTTTAATTTAATGTTATAATTATTTTTTTTAACTTAACGTTGTAAGCTGCCCCAAGGCTTTGGCGAATGGGGCAGCATAAAAATGTTTTAATAAATAAATAAAAAATAAATAAAGACTGGGGTCTCCAGCGGGTGCCCAGGGATGGCTGCGGGTCCATACGCACCACCCTGCTGTCCGCCCGTCTCCTTGCCGCTCTTGTTTGTTTAAATAATGCCCCCCCCGGCACCCTCCTGGGCCTTGGATTCGGGCAATTCCTTGCATCCTCAGCACCTTGCCTTCTGGGGAACGGCTCGGTGCATGCCAGGCCCACTGCGGTAGCCCTTGGACGGATGGCGTGGCCACCGATGACATTTCCGAAATCCCAAACATGCACGGCGACCCAAGGGGGGGGATCTCTGAGCGCGCAGATCCCCCCGGCCAGTTTTCCCGACGGCCAGAGGTGGGGTTTGGAAGCTGACGGCCGCGTCGTCTGTTCGCAGAAGGCGGCACTGCAGAACCGGGGCCTGCCTTCAGCGATGTTGCAGTGCAGGCATGCTCAGGAGTTCAGCTTCGGGCCCCGGGCGCTGAAGGACGCGCTGATCTCCACCAACCCGGCCCTGCAGGAGCTCTACGCCAAGGCCTTCTCCAGCGCTGAGAAGCTCTTCCTCTCGGAGGCCTACAACCCGCACCGGACGCTGTTCTGTGGCTTGTTCATTCGCACCGCCTTCGACTGGCTCCTCAGCCACCCCGACGCCCCCGAGGACTTCGAGACCTTCTACCACTCCCTGCTGAGGAGGAAGCAGAAGTTTTGCCGCAAGCACATCTATCTTCAGCCCATAGGTAACTGGACGGGCGGGCCTACAAGGGCACAGGTCGTGGGCTTGCGGGGCTGGAACGTGGCCACGCAGCCCAGGAAGGGGCCCCGATGGTCGCAGGTGGTGAGGGCCAAAGCAAGGCAGGCACCATCCGCACATGGCCCTGTGCCATGACCCGCCAGGCGTGAAGCAAACCTCCACGCATTCTTCCTTCTCATTTTACAAAACTGGGTTCTAGTGAAGGGGCGGCCAGGCAGCGATGCATGGCATGACATCCATGTTGAGATGGTTAGTTTTTTACTTTCAAAATGCATTATACTTTTCCATCCCAGAAGGGTGCTTCTTCCCACACATCGGTGTTTATCACGGATTTCAGAGGGTTCTGTCTAGATGGGCACATTTAGAAGTCATCCCTAGGATTGCTCTAAACTTCCAGCCAACTCATTTTTCATCCAAATCACTTTCAATAAAATATTTAGTTGCTTCAGTTTTGCACACAGCCCCTGATGAGCCCAAATCGGGACTGACTTTGTCTTCAATTGCAGTTGATTTGCAATGCTTTGTTGTCCCGTCCCCACTTCTCTCTCCCCGCCCAAATTGGAAAATTATTCCCATTCCATACAACTAAGCATAAAGGAGAACATTCCAAGGCCACCAAGAAACTTCTTTTCCCAAGTTCGATTGCCATGTAGCAGTAAGATCAGAAGTGAGACTCTGAGAGTCCCCGGCCTGGCTTCTTTCAGTACTGTTGGTTGGGCCAAATTCTTCACACTTTCTAGACCCTAAGAAACTGACCCAAAGCTTCTTGCCCTTAGACCTAAGCGAAGGACCCGTGGGGAACTCGCTGCTGAATTCCCTGCAGACCTGCGTCGAATCTTTCTTCTGGGGCCTCCGTGTCAAGTGCCTTCCTTCTGTCCCGGTCGCCTCCATCCACTGCTGTTACCGCCACAACCAGGATTCGGACAGAGTACAGCTCCACACTGGTAAGGCGATGGGAAAGCAAGCTGGCTTCATGAGGACGAGTTACTTGGCAAGTTAGCTCTTTCTCTGTGCACTTCAGTTCTGTGAGGGGGCATTTTCTCCCTTGCCCGCACAGCAGGGAGGAAAGGAGTGAGGCAGGAAACATCCTGTCTCCACGGGAGGAAAGGGCATGCCCAGCAGCCAGAACAATGAACCACCAGATAGGCAGCTGCGATCACATTTTCCTTTTCGGATGGAGTCACCCTTTTGCTACCGGGACAAAAGCTGTTCAGCCATCCTGGGGACTGGCCAGTGTGGAGGGAGAAGAGAAGTTAGACAGAGCCGTTGCTTTATGGAAGCACTCCATTGAAAGGCTCGTCCTGTCCTGTCTCAGGAAAGCTTGCCACGTATTTAACTGCATGTTGGGGTAACTGGTCTCCCCTGACTCATGGTGGGTGATTTACACATAAGTAAACCTATAGTCTAGTCCTTACAGGCTGTTGTCAAAGTCTGCCTAGCCAAAAATGTCCCCAGATTTCAGCCTCCTGACTTTTACAGTATTCTTCCTATGAAACAAAACAAGCATGGGGTGAGAAAATACCTGGACGTTTGCATAAGAATAGTTCTCTGGGGTACTTTTAGACCCCAAGCAAAAGCACAGGTCATCTCGATCTTTTTTGGAAGCCAAGAATCTGAGCTTAAAACCTCTGGCAAAGTGAATGAAAAGCCGCTGATGGAAATAATTTCATGCTGGTTTCAAGCCTTGTTTTGCAGAGTGAAGGTCAACAGCTGCAGGAAAGGTACCTGCTGGCATTTCCAAGATCTTTCTATCAAGAAACAGTTCTCACTAGGTATTTCCCCATCTTTGATCCTGCAGATGGAATCCTGACCTTTCTGAAGAACAACAAGCCAATGGATGCCCTCTGTGTCCTGGGCCTTACCTTGGCAGACCTCTACCCCTGTGAGACATGGAGCTTCACCTTCGGCAAGTTCCTGCCAGGCCAAGGTTTGGTTTATTTCCTACAGTTCTATTCAGGTGGCAACTTTGGAGAGGAATTATTATTATTTAGGGTTGTGGTCATTTCCTGGAACCCAAAGCAGCTTATATGGTCCTTGTCCTCCTCTGTTTTATCCTCACAACAACCCTGTCCAGTAGCTTAGGCTGAGGGTCATGGACTGGCCCCAAGTTTCATGAGGACTAGAACCCAGATTTCACAAGTACTCTAACAGTTAGACCACAGTGGCACTTGACTCCTCCTCCACCACCACCACTTTTTATCCTAAATGGCTAGGACGGATACAATCAGGCCTTCTTGTGAAAACCTGTGGATGAAGCAGGGCTATTGTGCAATTAAAAACTTCCCAATTAACACCCAAAGCACTGGAGACACATTTGCTTGCACTCATCCTCTGCTTCTCTCTCCTTGCTCCTCCCTCTGTCTGGCCTCCCACAGCGAAATTTTAGACCTTTAAGCTCCTTGGAGCTGCAGGGAGTGGAAGGAAGCCAGTCCGTGAAGGGCAGCACACTCTCCCCCTCCCCGCGCCGCTTCCCGTATATTTTTGAATGGTGTAATTAAGAGGGAAACAATGGTGGATTGTGGACCTCACATCCTGAAACCCTGCCAGTTGTTCTGCTGTTACGGAGTTTTGCATAACCTCCTCTTCCAGTTCCTTTAACATGTGCAGTGTGTACAATATGCAGCGATGTCAGTGAAGCTGCCTGGACACTAATTAGCTGGACAAGCTTCATTCCTTTTTCTATGGGGCCACGATGATGCTGGAAGACCAACCAGATGAACATTGACTAGTTTCCGACAAAAAGTGCAAAAATTAGGAGGCTAAAAGGGAAATTCAACTAGTCTAGCTTTGCTAATGATTTTATGCTGCTGCTTCCTCTGTTTGGATTTATGTATTTGATTGTCATGTTTATCATTCTGAACTCTGTGTTGGAAACTGCAGTGGGAATTTAGTCTGTTTTACGGATTTCCTAATTTCATCCACAAGCCACCTCCATTCTATAAATGGTCAATTGTTGCTAAGTATTGGCAGTAATAGATTCTTGCTGGGCATGTTAAGAATCCAAGCCAAAGTCATCTGAAGCTCAGTCTTCTGCTTGATTAATAATCTAATTTTTTAAGGTTTAATAATGTGGGAAACAAATTTTGAGACAACTGACGCAAGAAGGAGATGACGTGTTAGGGTGGCTTTTCTGCACAGGAGGGGTGGAAATAGCAGTGACCCTTCTCGCCCTTTGCTTCCTCTCCCCACAGAAGTGGGGGTCTGCAGCTTCGCCAGGTTTTCTGGCGACTTCTCCCAGGTCGGTTGTCCTACTCTAAACCCCTCTCCGTGGAGAGAAGAGGTGCACACCGAAGTCTTGCAGCAGGCCCGAAGCGAGGCGCTGCTGTTCAATTTGCTGGAAATGCTCCAGTGCTGCAAGGTGAGAGGCGCGTGGGCCTGGTGTCCGTGAAGCTGTCATCTGATGGTGACGGCCCTCGGTTTCACACAGAGGTTCAGTCCATGGCGTCTCCAGTCCGGAGGACCTCTGGGAGATGGGGTGGGGTAGTATTTCATGGATCAGAGAAGTTGTTGTCCGGTGCATGGATCGGGCAAAGCAGAGGGTTGGACGCTTTTAACAGGCCAAATGAAAAGCAAAATGGGAATAGATGCAGAACGCAAACAGAACCATGGAAGTTCACAAGATTGTTAGATTGATCTATAAGCCAATCCCGGTAGAACCTGGTCCCACGATCATCCTCGCAAGTGTGCCACTGTATTTGAAGGGCTCCAAGAGGGTGTTCATTATTTCCAGATGTTTGTTTATATGGTGCATTCATCATGCATGGCCTTTTGGCCTAGAACAAACCAAATGGGGGTTTGTAGGGATGATGCCAACCAAGACCTCTCCTCAGACAGAGCAGATGGTGAAAAGTCCATCAGAAATGCATCCACAGTCCCACAGTTTCAACATGCTTATTTGCCTGTGAAAACTTCTGGCTAGCGTCTCGTGTGAGCAATTCTGTGAGGCTCACCCAGTTCCAGCTGAAATGAACAGGAAAATGTAGTCACAAATCATTTCCTCGTGTGATCACCAGGTTTGTCCTTTCCGTGTATCCACGAGGCACGCGAATACTTTATTCATCTATCCAGGGTTCTCTCTGTAATTTTAACTACTGTGACTTTCACAATGAGATAGGGATCTTTTAAGCCAAATTTGGGTCTTGCGTTGTACGTTTGGGAAATTTCAGCAGTGTGACTGGATCAGAAGGACTGCGCCAGTGTAAATGGTAGGTGGGGAGTCCCTTGTCTGCACACTCTGCCATATTAAAAATTCCCTCCCCGCATGCAGAAAAGTAGAGTTCCAGGGAGAGAGCTGTGCTAAACTTGACATGCTAGCTTTCTGTGCATGGGCCATTTTTGACTGGGAGGAGAGTTCAAATGTGAACATCCTAGCCCTGAACTCTGGAAGGGGTACAGCCCAGGAAGGGCATGTAGCTGAATACTATTTCTGCATGGTTGAAGTGGCTCTTAGAAACCTCATACAGAAAATGGAAAGGCTGCAGAAAAAGTCCTGGGGGTTTGGGGTGCCTTTCAGTCCAGGCAAGGGAAGGGAAGGGAAAGGAGAGTTAGCTCAAGGCAGGGAAGAAAAACAGCGGATGAAAGGCCTGCTTCATTTATTCTTGGTTTTTCCAATGAAAGGTCACATGCCACGAGATCTGCCATCTGATTGGCTTAGGAAACTGTCGCTGGCTTCAGTGCATCATGCAAGGTGCCTTGAGTTTGGATGAGATTCTGCTGCAGCCCCTGGAGCCCTGTCCGATATGTCTTCGGAAGCTGCAGTACGTCGTGGGCTTCAAGCTCATTGAGCGCTACAGGGTAAGAGATCAGAGTGGGCCAGGCCTCCCTAGTCTCCTTTCTGCAAGGCAGGATGACTTAGTCGCCGTCTCGACACCAGTCTGCTCATAATGTACGTCGGCAGGTGTCAGAAACCAGAGCAGACAAGATGCAATTAGTTTCAGGCAGGAAAAGTTCCTTCTCAGTGGCAGCCCCTGCTCTGTGCAGGGGCTTCTCGGGGAGATCAACTTGTGTACACTCAGAGGTCAGGTGAAGACCTTTCTCTTCCAGCAGGCAGATGGTTAATTTCACTGTCGTCTCCTGAGTGTTTTAAATATGTTTTCTTATGTTTAATACAGTAGTGCCTTGATAATTTTGCTGCAGTGTTTTCCCTTTCCCATTACCTTGTTGTCATTGTTTTGGGTTGTTTGCCAGTTGGGCAGTCTAGAAACCTATAAAGAAATAAATAAACAAACAGGCAGCTCAAGCAAGTTAGCCAAGCCACATGCTATGGGGAGAAGCCAGGAACTCCTCATAGTTGCTAGCCCATCTGAACGAGCAGAGCATTTCTTCTGAGTATAAACATGATGAGACCCACGGCCGTTTCCAATTCTAAAGGGTCGAAATGCCTCTCCTGGAGCACAGTCACTAGCAGGAAGAGCTTTAACCTAAAATAGGCTGGCATTTTCTGTATTTTTGCCCCCCCCGTCCCCCCCCCACTGGAATGCAGCTTTCAAGAGCTCTTCCAAAACTGAATGCAGCCCTTGTATTGAAAGAGGTTCCAAACTGTACAGTCTTAGAAGCAAACCTGTTAGACAGATCGATCGAAAGGCAGGGCTGTGTTCATTCCACAAATCCTTCCAACTGCCATGAAAGCACAGAATCTGATGTTGGGGCGCAGAATTTCCAATAATCCCTATTCTGATTTGCTGTTCTTCAGTTACATGTTTCTAGTCCTTATGGGCTGCCTAGGTTCAAGAGACCACACCAGGGCATCGCTTGTCCATGGTCAAGTTGGGACGGAACCTGGGTGAATCGCTTTGAGCAGACACATTCTGTTCACACAGTTGATTCTTCTCTAGAGAGTTGGTGGGTGGGGAAGGGCTCTTCATGGCGCTGAGGTCCCATCATGGGACTGTCAGAGGTCCTGCCCAGTCCCCTCCTCCCTCCAGATTTTGAGATGTCACCATGCGTTATCCAGAGACATCTTCAGATTGATTCTTGCAGCTTTTCTTCTTTAGAAAAGCAACGACATATGCCGTGCATCCTTCTTCCTCTGGCAAGGAGCATAAGGCAGGGGTTTCCTCCTCTTCCCTTTATCCTCACAGTAACAACCCTGCGGTAGGTTAGTCTGAGCGACTGCTCCAGGGTCGCCCAGTGAGCTTCAGAGCTGGGTAGGGACTAAAACTTTGCATCTCCAAAGTCCCAGGCCAGTACTTTAAATGCTATGTAGAAATGGGCTCTCAGTGCCAAATTTTGTAGGGATATAGGACACTCAAGACAGGTCTAACTCTTACTCTAGTTCTCCAAAATGGCAACAGAAAGAACAATGCTTTTGTTTTGTTTTGTTTGTTTTGTTTGGGGGGGCACTTTTCATTGTTCATGGCACAGAAACTCTACGCATGGATACAAACCATTTCATCCACCTGGCTCAGCCAAGAAGCAGGCGATCTGTCTATGTCTGAGGACATTTTGCCACCCAGTGCAGACTCCGGCATGGGCTGCGAGAACGACTCGGAGGCGGTGACGTCCCTCTCGGAGCCCCTGACCCCAGAAACCTGCAGCCAAGGCATCTCCACGTTGCAGGACCTCGACTTTGATGAACAGTCCTGTTCTCTGGCGGATGCTGCCAGCCGGGAGCAGTTGGCCGGCGCTCCCAAGCCCTTGGACATGATTGAGGACTATACGGTGTGGCTGCAGATGTGCATTGCAGCCCTAGAAAAGGATGTCTCCGAGGAGGAGATCCGGCAGGTGGACCAGGCAGTGGATGCCCTGGCGCGGTGGGAAATGTTCACAGGGCAGCTGCCTGGGCCCCGGAGAGACCTGCCTTTCACCCATGACAGCCCGGGGCTCAGAAAAGTCCTGGGAGATAAGTTCTCCTCCTTGAGAAGGAAACTCAGTTCCAGAAAGCTGGCGAGAGCAGAATCTTCCCCACGTCGGTGGAAGTGGGAGGAGAGCTAGCCCAGCCAAGAAGCACCTGCTTCTAAATATTTTTCCAGTGGGTTAAATGTGGGTTTTGTTTCTTCTTGTTATGTTTCCTGTCTGTTTTGTTGCAAGCTCTCGGTGTTTGTCTGAGAAAGAACCAAGAACTCCCCAAGTGCAATAAAAGGAGCGTCTTCTATTGGTGTTGTTTTCTTCCTTGTTGATGCAGATCCTTGTCTGCTGCATCCAAGCACAGTCATTCTTAGCATGAAACTCCTTTCTGGTGCCTTCACAGACTGCTTGAACAACACAACATAAAGGGGGATATGAGAAATGTTGAACGCTCTCAAAACCTTGGCCGTCAGGAAGCTAGCTGGAGGGATGGACACGGTTTGCATCCCTGAAGGTACTCTTTTGTGCAGACAGTGGCCAGACAGACAGTGCCAGTTCCAGATTTTGGGTATCCTTTGGGCAAGGTACTCTTGGTTGACCCTTCTCCCTCACGGAATCTCCCATCCGTTCAGTCTTGTCATCTGTTTCTCCTCTTCCTGGTTGCCGCCGCTTGCTTTCTTGCAAGGCAGAGCGCCACTGAGCAAGTTGGTAGTGGCCGCTACCACTCTTCCTGGCAAGTCATGAGCGGAGCCAGTTGGGGCCAGGGGTCAGACTAGATGGCCTGGGAGACCCCTTCTGACTCGCTCTGTTTCTATGTTCTATGTTTCTATGTTTCCTAATCACCACCATTGCCTGGGCCAGAGCAAGCGGCAGGTAAGTCAGTCATCCGCAAGGGTGAACAGGCGAAGCAAGTCCAGGAATTCTCACTGGGTGGTTGGGCCCCGGACAGATGCCCCATCATGCCAGTCCTTGGCCCTTGCCTGCCACAAATGGTATTGCACTGCACACGTCAACAAGCAGTATAGTAAAGTAAGCACCACTCTGTATCAAAGGCCCATGAATTTCTGCATGGTTGGATGAGTGCATTTAAAAACCAGGGAGACTTTTCAGACAACTATTATTTTCCTTACTGAAACACCTCCACTTTATTGCAGAGCGATGGATGGACACATTTCCTATGGTTCACTGGTGTGTTTTTAATTGAAGGTTTAAAAGCCAGCAGGGCTTTCTGGGGATCTCTCTATAATTAAGGCAAAAGCAGCAGTGTAGTAGAGCCGGAGCTGAGAGAGGGAAACTGCTCTTCCACTACTATTATGTGCTATCCCAGCTGAAATGCAACATGTTTTGGGGTGGTTTGGTCTCCAGTGGGCAATTCAGGGAGATTTGCTTTGCAGAAGACCTACAGGACACACACACACACACACACACAGGATCTAACACAGCTGCCTGCAATTCTGGACTTTCCTCAGGGGCTGTATGTGCGAACTGTCATGATGAAAATGTTTTAGGTCGTGAAAATTAAAGGTATCTTTAGCTGGGCAAACTCTCCACTCTGCTCCTCACGCAACTCATGAGCTTTGTTCTAGATGGCAGGAGTAAAATTCCAGGGATAAAGCAATGCCCCAGCCTATCGCTCCAGTAATGTCACCTTCTTAAGGAAGCAGCTATAAATAAGCACTGCTTTGCTTTGTCATGAAACAATTCAGAAGCACTGGGTTTCTGTCATTTCCTGGCATCCACAGATGCTTGGAAGCCTTTGTAACAGAGGGAGACTGCTGTGGAAATCATTCCTTGGGAGCACAACATTTGAAAAACAGTGGAAAGTTTTCCATTTTTACAAATGGGATGCTGGGTATAAATCCTGATCGATAAAACCATCCCCATCACAGTGCGGAAGTGCGCGGAAAGCGTGGGGACCCTCCATCCTGGAACCTCAGTACTTGCAGAGGATTCTGGGATGTGTTCTGAGATGCTGCATCCTGGCTTATGCAGGGCACAGATCAGGTCTGTCAAGATGCACTGTTGTTCTGGTTGAACTGGGAACATGACCTTGCGGCGGAAGATTGGCGCTGTTGGACAAGCTTGCTTTCAAAGCAGCTCTTCTGTTATTGTTGGCCTTACCTTGTAGAAAGCCCTGCGGGGCTTCCCGGGAAGCAGAAAATGGCCTAAAAGAAGAGCACCGTTTGGAAGCATAATGTGCTACTGATGTCAGTTACTGGGTGGAAAGTTCCTTCCCCAAAATCCCAAATAAAACTTTACAGCCCGACAGGCAAAACAAGGCAGCAAGAGTGAACCAACCTCACTCCCGCCCCCTGCTGGCGGCTTAAATATTGCTGCCGTTTTTTCGTGGAAAACAAAGAGCGCATACCCTTAAGCAAGGAGATGTGAAATTCAGAATGTACCAGGGGAGGTGTGGAAAATATCAGGGGAGGGAGAGAGGGGGTGTTTTAAAAGTAAACATTTAGAAAGTTGCATTTTTATTAGCGAGTGACAGAGGCAGAGAAAGAGGAAAGCTTCGTCTCCCTCTTCAGTTAACAAAAGTGTTTGCAGCACCCTTGCTGTTGCTATGGCAACTGTTTTAGCAGGAAAGAGGATCTATCTAGCACCTCTTTAAGCAAGAGCCTGTGTCTGTGTCTGTGTCTTTGTGTGTGTGTGTGTGTGTGTGTGAGAGAGAGAGAGGGAGGGAGGGAGGGAGGGAGGGAGATAGTTCACATCATATTTTCCCAGAGCTTAATTTGGCACAGAGCTGAGCACTGGAATGAGTTTTCAGTCTGCGGGTTCTTTACAAATCCAGGAACAGGCATTTGCATCTACTCCTTGTTGTGCATCAAGAGTTGAGCTTTTCCCTACGTCCACATGCGGCTTCCAGGAAGGGAGGTAACTCAGCCTCATGCAAAGGAAGCGGCCCACTTCTGCAAGCAGATCAGGTCTGCGAGTCAAACACCTGAGCATTCCCTCTTTATACACACACACACAATTAGGAAACTGTTGGAACCTTTCTCCCTGTGGTTATAGCTTTCTCAGAGCAATTATACGTGCACAATTATATTGGTTAATCCGGAGAGCGTTGAGGAGGAAGATGGCATAGCTATCCGATGTCTCTTGCTTGGTAGTGCCAGGAGCTCTCTTCTTTGGGAGCAGCTTCAACGCAGTGGGGGAGGCAGATTTAAAAGATTCAAATCAATATGGTGTCACTTGTTTGGCAACCGGGGCCTGCACGGATCAAAGAATGATAAAATCACCGCACAGATCGCACCTAAATCGGGTCCTGTGAATGGATCGGTGTGGCCTCAATCCTGAAGGGGATTTTGTTCCTAGGTGGTTGTGTTGTTTTGCTTTGTCCAAGTGCTAGAAGAACGGCACTCGTATCTGATGGGACATGGCATCTGCTCGAGGGATCCAGCGAGTTTTTGCTTTTGTCCGTCTAAGGACACTGACAGAGCATTCGTCCACAAAGACCTTATTAGAACATGATTTGCTGCAGCCAGGCTAAAGAGAGAAAAGTATTGGAAACACTCCAAGAGACTGGGTTAAGCTTTGGAAATTGCACTGGTTGAAAAATTAAGACACAAAACAAGGCGCTCAAATGGCTAGAAAAGTATGACTTACTTGCCGATACATGACAACTTTGTACTGTATTCATGGTATTCCAAGGACCTCATGATACACCTTTCACACAACTCAAATTCTCAAAGGCTGCTTTTTGATATATGTGAGACACACCAAGCCCATAGAAGTGGCATAAATACACTCCCTGTGGATTAAAGCAAATGGAAAGCACCCCTTGGCAGTGCATTCAGATTGCACAAATATCCTTGGTTATCTGGGAGTAATAAAAGTGAAGTAGGTACAGCGGTGCAGAGGCTCATAAAACAAGCAAGGATGTGTGAAGAATGCGCGTGTGAAGAACTGAGAACAATTCCCCGAAATTCCCTGCTCCCTAAAGAAAGTGAAATGCTTCTGCAGACACTCTGAAGCACAGTGGCAACAAGTCACATTTTAATACATTTACAAAATTCAGATATACAGAACAGCTAATTCAGAGTTTTAAAATACATTTTTTTACACCACCATGTTTTATAAATCCAACGCACAGCTTTCATAAACTGACGCTAGGCTACAAAGGATTACAGATGCTCCTTTAGGGCTTAGACAAGGGTCATCGGTTTAAAAACACAATTCAAGAGTATGAGGAGCAGGTTATGAGTTTTGGTCCTTTGCCGGCAATGCATTATCTGTATTTATAACCACCTTTCAACAGCCATCCCATTTTTGCCGCAGCTAGAAATCAGCTACTCGCAGCATGTACTTTTCCTGTCCCTTTAGAACTCGGCACCATGTTGCATCGAATATTGTTCTAGACACAGCTGTTGTGTTATACTGAGTATGTGCGAACAGGGGATGAGAATTCCTTGCTTTAAATTTTGTTTCACTAGCCCGTAGCAAGCGACTCCTCCGCCCGTCCGCTAGTCGCCTGCATGGGCATGCCAGCAGCTTCTACATGACGCACGGTGAATGAATTACCCTCTGGGGTATAGGAATCACTAGCAAACTACAGATAAGAGAAGGCACTGCGTTTTCATTAGCTCTATTTAGGGTATTTCTTAAAATGCGGCTTGCAGTTTATCTTCCTGGACAGGAAGATTGCTAACTGAGGCTAGGGAGTGACGGGGAACCCAATGATGGAAAGATACTCCAATGGGTTTTTACGATTTGCCCCATCCCACAATTCCAAACCTTTAGCCCTGCACTGTGATGACAGTTGAGCTAGCTTGTGAACCGCAGTCTAAAATGGGACCGCAACATGTGCATTGCAAAAAAACACCAACCACTAGGAAAATCTGCACGAATCAGCACCCCAAAGCCATGCGGCTATAGTGTAATTTGCATGAGTCTGTTGCTTTTGTGCAAATCACTAGAACGAGTTTGAGGTGTTTATTTGTGCAACTTTCATCAGCACTGAGAAGACACTCAAACTGCAGTCCTTTATAGAGATGGAAGTCTGCAGAAAAAAGATCCAACCTGGCTCCCTGGATCGGACGTGCGGAATTCCCACGAGCTCAGACCAGTCGGATCTGCTTGGGTGCCTCTTCCAGGTATTCCTTCTGTGTGAGGGCAACGTGGAGATGCACAACTTGGGATGCTACCATTTACGGGATGTTCCCCCCAGAGGCGCTCAGCTGGTATTTACATTACGACATTTTCTGCACCAGGGTAACTCTCTTTTTATTCTCCCAGGCATTTCAGGAAGGGTGTTTAGTACACTACTCTGTCGATTTAGATTTTATGATGCTACAACATTGTCATCCTTTGCTGCTGGATGGTTCTACGGTGTTATTTCTTGTTTTAATATCCGTATGGTATATTTTCATCGGACACCGCCCAAAGAACTTCAGTTATTGGACAGTTTAAAAGTACAGTGAATAAATTAAAATTAAAAGTCCTCAAGGCAGTTCACAAAAAACAGAGAACAAAAAATGGCATCAGCTTTGATGTTGCTTTCTTCAGTCACCAATGGGAAAGGAGTCAGAGGCTAATGGCCTCTTTCAGGCCCATGGAATGGACACCACCCATTGGCCTCATGCTCTCATATACAATTTCAACATTATGAACCCAGTAACATGGCCCAGGCTAGCTTAGGTAAAGCCAAGTCTTTGGAGAGGCACAGCAGGCCAACGTGAGCTGGGCTGCTGCAGGTTAGGGGCTCAGATACTGGGATCCACAGGGGAGACACCCTGAACATACTAAAGCAACTCAAACCTTGCCTCTCCTCATAACCCAAAACATTTGGCAGGATTTTCGTGTGAAGCATTTCTATCTTTCAGCTGCTATTCCATCCCTCCAACCACAAAACAAAGTGCTCATCTGTTTCGGTTCTTATAGTGCTTCCAGAAACTCAAGGGCTTGCTCGTGGCTTTAGGATGCTTCGGTTGGTTCCTTTACGGCTCCTAAAGATTAGGGTGGGCAACATGAACCCTTGAATGGCCGCCCAGCACGGAATTGCAAGCAACAGGACCCCTTTTGCTTTTAGAGGATGCAAGCCATGACTCAGTACCAAACTTTGGCAGTGCAGTAGGGAAAATGACGTGGAAAACGCGAAGAGGAATATGGGAAGGCAGGGGTGCAGCCCCAGGTGTGTTCCTGGGGGATGGGGCACTTCTCCCTACAGGTTCCCACCCCTCCCCGTGCACTGAACCACCTCCGGAGCTCTCTGAAGTTTCTGAATGCACCTAGAAAGGCCTTGACAAGGGAATGGAATTTCCCCATTGTGACACAACTGCTGAAAATGCCATTTTACCTTTGCAGTTTGAACTTGGTGTGTGAATTATACAACGGAGAGGACCGTCTTGGTGACTTTTCATAAAAGGGCGGGCAACAAAGAGGCTGGCTGTCTCTTAAGGCATGCAGGGCCCTGGTGCTTAAGGGCTTAATTTCGTGAGCATTTACAAAAAGAGACAAGTGTTTGGCTTTAGGAATTTTATTGGCCCTTCTGTATAGCCAAAGCCCCTAACTCTACACTGGAAGGGGCTTGAATCTCCAAGTCCCAGGTATAAACAAATGGGCAAGCTGGAAAAAGATCTGTGTGCATGCCAATAGCTACAAGTGATGCCAACATGTTGTTGTACTAAGCAGCCAAATCCTCCTTCTGAAGAGTCATCAGAGCACACCGGGTCTTCACTGATGGCCGTTTGTTTCACTATACAGAGTGCCAGTATTTAAGCAGCAGTACGTAAGTATCTCTTTAGAATGGAAATCTATTCCTCCTCTGCATCATTCCCTCCCAACAATAGATTTTGGACTGATCACCAGAAAGCTAACCTGTTTTTTGCTTTTGTTTAAACCGGAGCATGGTAAGTTTCAAGTGGGTTACCGCAAGCTAAAACAAGGGAAGCCTGCCAAACCCTAGATTGCTTTCTGGCTCCTTGGTGGAAGGGTCTTTATTTCAGCAAGAAGAACTGGTGATGGAAATAGCAATGTCAAGTCATCCACATGAGTGGTGGTCAATTGCAGAGGAGGAGAAATTTTTGTTATAGATTCAAAACTGCCTATCGTACAGGAATGGTCTGGGCGGCAGAATTAAACTCCCTTCCAGCTTTTTTCACTTCAGGCTCCACAGCTGCTAAGTTAACAGTCTCAGAATCTGTTCCAACAACATGGCTGTTAGCTGACAGGCTAAGTACTGCCACTGCAAGTCGTCCCCTCAGCAGCAGCACCAACCTCCAGCTTCCACTTCACAAAATAACTGCATGTTTTTCAAGGTCTTGCTCCTGCCAAGTTTATATAAATAAGCAAGCCTGTGTGTCGTGTGTCACACTTGTGCATTTCTCTCTTACACAGGAGCGTTGTGCTTCTCTCTGTCACAGAGGGTATAAACTTTGTCACAGCAATCTTCCTCTGACAGATGAGAAACCCGAACACCTGGAACATTTGTCGGGTATAAAATGTGCAAAAGTGTAAGTTCAAGACCTGTAAAATATTGTTCTGTGAGTAATCCATTTCCTGGCTAGTCAGAATCAAGTATTCCATCTACAAATCCTTCTGCTTCCCACTAAACTGCACTTAGAACAAACTGTTCTCAAGGATTACAACTAAGGCAAATGTCTTGCAGCTCTGGCAAGAGAAAGTAGGGAGGAGCAATTTGGGGACTGCAAAGGGAACAGCACGAGATTCGAGAAATATTCTTCTTGTCAGTTCTAAGCTAACTATTGGCACACATCAGAAGAGGCTTACTATATTGCCTACCAAGCCATACATTGCATTATTGTTTAGGGCTGACCAATAAGAATAAACTGGACTGCACTGTAAAACCCTAAAGTTGTTAAAACGGACTTATTGGTGACTGTGCGTGTGTACACACACACACACACACTAGTGGAATCACAGAACTGCTTAGCTATCAAGCTTCGACTGAAAAGTTAAACAAACGTACTACAGCTGCAGCCATGATCAAAGGAGGGATAATGGAACTGTGGAGGGATGAGAAGATACAAAAGTAAAGAACATCCTTGACACCAAGAAAACTGACTGTAAGGTCCCACTGGGTGGACTAGATTGCTTATGTTATCTGGCCACAAAAAGCCACTATGCTCATGTTTGTTTCAGCCAGGGACTCCCATTATATGAACGAGACTGCATCTAGTTCATCAAAGGGGCACACGGTACTTTCTGTGAGTATTCCAGTAGCCACACTAACAAGCAAGTATATTTCTGGGTACGGGGTTGTAAAAAAACAGTTTGAGAACTCAAATGTATTAGATTGTGGTTTTTATTTTAATATGCAAATGGCAGCATTGTCCAGATTTTAAATACTTGTAATTAAACAACTTTGTGCTACTGTCTGACAAGTAAGGCCAAATAAAGGTTTGTACATAAAATGGAGGCACTTTTGGATAGTCATGGAATCCAAGTTCAATTATTAACTGAATAGCCAAGCCTTCTCCAAACAGGAAACTTCTGGTGAGGAACCCAGTTAAAATACGGTGGCTGGGATACAGAAGAACTATTTTAAGCATGTGAATACGTCTAACGGGAATTCTGACTTCTTTTAAAGGCAGATGCAGTAGCCACATCACAAATCACTCTTGAAAACTCCTCAGAGTTTCAGCCTGCAACTTGAAAATGCATATCAGGAGCCCCCTTAGAAACAAGGAATTGCAATTTAAGAGAATAAGCGACGAAGAAGTCTGGTAAATATAACATCAGCTCTAGCAGATCGAGAGAGCTGGGCAGCTGTGGCCAAGACGCATGCCCCCTTATACATGGAAGAGCAATTTTATCTCCTGCAAAATGGTTTTTTAACACTTTCTCATATATGTAGCAGAACAGAAACATCTTGTCTAGAAGCAAATACGGAAATAAAATTGGTCCTGAAAAGATAGGCCTTAGTTCAAGAGTAATACAGACCTAATACAGAGTAGGAAATATCCATACACACAGAAAGTAAGATTGCCACTAGGTAAATTCCCAAATGTAAGAGTATCCTCAAAATGTTGAGTCTGCAGCTGTCTTAGTAGATATTCAACTCTGCATAAAAACTAGGAAATTGTCCCCTTATTTTCAAAACATTGTTTGATTTTGCACAAAATATCACTACAAGTGAGGAAGATTTCTGATTTACAAAGTATGGTACACCACACAAAAACATGCTTATATAAACTTGAGTAACCCACACAAGAAAAAAAATTGCAAATTTTGCCCAACAAAGTCACAACAAGTTATTAGTGTGGTTATTCGTGGCATAATGTCTGGAGTGCTTTCTGTTTAAGACATGATCGTCCCAATAGGGCATAAAGTACAGCATTCTGATAACATGATATAGGAAAGACTAAGCCCTTTATGTTTTAGTATGACATGTACGGTACCAATGTCACAGTAAACATTTCTTATGTTTAAGAAGATCCCTGAATAATGACTATAGCACTGAAAATACAGGTCTCGGTTTGGTGTTAATACATGCCTCAGAGCAGAAAGAATGTAAAATGTGTACACACAGAAAAGGCACCCATAGTTAAATTCAACATTTTAGAATTAAAAAAATAAGCTCACATCAACATTATTCACAGCCTCCTGCAAATTCACACTTACTCTGTGGTAGCCTTAAAGGGACAAGCTTAGACTTGATACAATATTTTAAATGTATATTATATAGGCTAATAAAACCCTACATCAACAATTAAGGATGAATGCCAAGCAAGGTCCTTCTGTTCAAACTCAGTGCAGCTATTAAGTGGCGCTCGCAAGAGGATTCGGCTTTGGTGTTATGGGCAGCCACTGCTAATCAAAGATCTGCCTAAAAAGTAGCCTCAGCTGCCACACCAGAGACAAAGAACAGTCATACTGCGCTTTCGTATAGTTCCAAATCTAGGTTTGGGAAAGGATGGAGGATGTCTTGATAGGACATCAGGCATCTGAGCACTGGCCTGCGCTGTATTGCTGTGGCTTATGTTTCACAATGCAATGAACACCGTAACATGTAGTGCAAAGGTAAGCCCTTGTGCTGCACCAACCCAGGCCTCAGGGTTTTGCCCCCTCTGACACAAGCTGCTTAAAAACAAAACAAAACTGTACTTGTGTGACCAGATAAATTCATTACAGTTCTAAACTTTTCGTATGAAGGAGGCTAGAGAGATTTTCAGAAAGAGCTAGATGAATATCCGGCAAACCATCTTGTATGCACCAAAACATGGGATGTTGATCTCTGGAATAGGAAAATATATTACAATGTATTCCCCAAAGAGAAGCATCCATTAGTGAATGGAATATGCTCTTGGGATTTGTTAATTCAGCACCCAGAATTAGTAAGGCAGACAGGTTTCACTGCCGGCAAATTCTAGTACTCTTGCACAATAACCTTTCAACAGACAAAAGTTCTTTATAGTTTTCAAAGTGAGGGGTCACTCTTCAAAAGGCAGAAGGCAGACGTGTTACTCAGTTTTCAGAAGAAGGCACTGCTCTTACAACAGTCACTTTTTCAGTAGTGTTTCTAAATTAAGCAAATCAGTAGCAAATGAGCTTTCACAGTCCTTCTGCTTGTCGCTCCTCTGTCAGGGCTATTTTGCAGCCTTTGTGAGCCAAGTAAACAGCACTGATCTTTTAGGAACAAACCCATTGGGAGAACCGCAAAAACAGTAGCTGAATCTACGACTGTTAGGCTAGGTTTCAATGGAGAGGGGTCAGCTTTCCTTCACTGCAACATAATATCTTTAAGGTTCTCCTGTAGGATCGTATCCTTCACAGCATGGAACACAAAGCGGATGTTCTCAGTATCGATGGCCGTGGTGAAATGGTGGAAGAGGGGCTTACTGCGATTCCGCCTCTTTCGGTCAAAACATTGTACCAGGTAACGCTGAACATCTTCCAGCCGATGAGGATCACCTCTGAAGTCTGAGAAGTACTTCTTAATGCTAACATTCTGTACTTTCTCCACGAGAAGGTCCATTTTGTTAAGGAACAGGATGATGGAGACATTAAGAAAGAGCTTGTTGTTGACAATGGTTTCGAATATGTTCATGGACTCGACCAGCCTGTTTGTACGCCGGTCTTCCATAAGAACCTGGTCATATTCACTTGAGGAGACCATGAACAGTATGGATGTTATTCCGTCAAAGCACTGGAACCACTTTTGGCGCTGCGATCGCTGTCCACCCACGTCCACCATTTTGAAGGGGATCTTCTTGATGATGAAGTCATGCTCCACGATCCCCTTGGTAGCTTTCCTGGCCAGCAAGATGTCTTGCTTACTGGGAAAATAGTTCTGCAGAAACAGACAGTGGGAAGTGGGGGAAAGAAGACATGTGAAATGGACCAGTGGTTCGCTCTGCCGAGGAGGAGAAGTTGCACAGTGGCCGGGTGGCGTGAGATGCGAGAGAGAAGCCGCTCTTACACCACCTGTTCAGCTGCAAAATCTGGGTCGGACGCCTCCTGCTGATGCTAAAGCTCGCCACCAACACTTTCGCTCACGCTCTTTGAGCTGTGTTTGATTGCACGAACTGGCCCTAAGCTAATTCCCTCTCAAGGAAGACTCTGAATTGTTTACAAGTCTCCTCAGGATCATAAATGTATCCTTTGAAGTCCCCTGTAGCAATCTTGCAACATATGCAATAAAATCTGGAGTTTCTGATAAACTAAGGCTTGTAAGTTTCAATGTTGCGAGTGCTAGCCAAGTTTCACTGCTGCTGCTACAGGGCTGAGGTATGTTTAAAGTCTGTGTAATCAGTATAAGAAACAATGCAGGCTTAGCTTAAGCAGTAGTCTCGGGAACACACGCCCTCTTCAAAAACAATGGTCCTGTACAGTTCATTGTAGTCTAAGAACTGTCTGTGGAATTATGCTTTGGTGGGCATAATATGCACTCTCAATCTATATGTGGCAACCATACAGTCTGACAGACAGATCCACATAACTCAGATTTCATCTAGGATTCATTCTGCGGCCTATATCCATATTGCCTATTCTTCCACACAATATCCTTTGTGTCCCATTATTTTTGATATGGGCATTATCCACTTTATATATAATATTTAGAATATTTTAAAAAGCTTGCTATATTTAAGAACAGGTTCTTTTCTCCAGAGTAGAAAGAACTGGGCACAGTTGTAAGATAGTTGCAGAAATTCTGCTTGGAGATTCTAGCTCTGCATATTCCACATTCGTACAAACATTCAGTCCTATCCCCCCCTTTTGGCAGTTTATGGCCTCTCCTATCCAGGATTATTGCTTGGCCTTAGATCATATGATCTAAGTATCTCAGACAAGGCACATCAATGGTACAATGCATAAAAGCAATGGAAGGTATAATGTGAGAGCAGAGAAGCAGTGAATCTCACCAATTGGCCAATCCGATCCAGATTATCCAGGAAATATTTCACAGATTCTCCCTGTTGAAAGAAGAGGATATTTGTGCTTAATCTTATTCCTGGACTCAGTTTACAAAACCAAAGCCATTTAAATGTGTCCGTGTGCAAATCCATGGTTTGCTGTTTCATACTGATCTTTTTTCCCAGACTAAGCTGCTACAGTTCTGAAATACAAACATCTTTTGCAGCAGTTACAAAAGGAAGGGACACGATTTCCATAATCCGCCCACATTTTTGCTAATGAAGCTGGGAGACCATCCAGAGCCAGAAGAGCAGAGATATTTCAGATAAAGCTGTTGAAAGGCTAGTAAATTTCAAAGGTGCATAAATGCTGGAAAAAAAATTAGTTTTGGAGTAGCTACTTGCAAAAATCCAGAGTTTTGGTTGAAACCAGCCATTTAAAATGAAGCTATGAATATGTGTACTTCATCCTGACAGTTTGGAACCTTCTCGACATAGACGCTGACTGTGAAATCTGATCCTCTTTCGGTTACAGGCAATCTCTGGGGCACAGAGTTTAAGCCAATGCTTGAACAGCTATGAGAAAATGTTAAAGCCAAGGTTTTGCTAGACTCATGCAACAATTTAAAGAATGAACTTCCACAACCCACTCAAATCAAATAATTTCCATTTATGCCAATAGGAGAGATATTAGCACACACTGATCAATTCTGCTGAGATCAATAGGTCTTCCCGGTATTTTGTGAGAGGGGGGAACTGCATGTTTGTTTCCTCCAAACTGGATTTCTTCAGCTCAGAATTGTATGTCAACCTTTTATGTCTCTCTTGACGCTTGGTAGCCATTGTTAGCAAAATGAGCAATTCAAACATCTTGAAAATCTTCGGATGCAGCACAAGGAGCATCTCAATTTCAATTTAAGACTAAGGACTCTCTGCACAGCAGTGCTTTAGTGGAAAACACGTGTTCCGAAGTCTGACAGCACAAGAGATGTTTCTACTGAATAATGCCCTTGATGTGCCACTGCATGCAGTTCACAGGTCTTTCAAGGGCCACAGGGACATGCGGTCTTTCTGGGGGACAGGACTTCCTCAGCAGGAGGAAGAACTAAAATGGCTTGGTACCAGCAGCAGGCATTTCAAGTAAACTGCAACCCGGTGTGTTTTGGCAATGCAGTTTCATGGTGGAAGCACATTTATTTCATGACTACCAGGGGAAAATGGCGTTTTCCCCTAGAGAGGGTAAAACACTTTATGGAAATGAGTTTTAAGCAATATCTTCTCATTGATCACTTCTGAATTGACTGGTTGAGTATGTGGAAATAGCTACACATCCAAGCTGGGTGAAATGTGGCTCAGATCAATACTTTTATCACCTAAAGAGGGTGCTCTTGACATGAAAATTTTACCTCTTCGTGTAAAGAAGCAGGCCCTGGAGAATGATACCTTCCAGAGGACTCTGAAGTAGCTATGCAGGAGTAAAGACGTATATATGGCATGCCAGATTCTGCTGCCTGGGAATTCTTGGATATGGCATTACTACAGTGGAGCAACTGCACCCACCTTTGAAACACAACACAGAAAGAGGGGTGTCTGGTGCTAGGGAACTGTTGGGGTTGTATGCCAATATCTAGGAGTATTCATATTGCCTATTAATTGTGGTCATTAGCAGCTTATGCCAGTTCATCCGTATTAGATATTTAGCAGAGATCCGGACAGTCATAATTCACATATTCCTCTATAACTTCCAAAGTACAGTATAGTGAGAGCTCAATTTTGAAATTTCACATTCGAAGTATCCACCCAGTTTCCCCACACTTTAAGAATGAACCCTGATCTGTTTATGACCATAAGCAGAGAACAGCAATGACTCTTGAGGAGATGATATGGAATCCTCAAATGCTCTTGCTCTAGGTTAGTCATCTTTTCAAACTCCATTTTTAATTCTGCTTGAAAAAGTACAGTTGCTCAGCTCCTAAAAGCAAGGCTGCTTTGCTGCATACAAGATTATGCTCACTAATTGTCTGGTCCTTCTTACCCAAAGGGTTAAATACAAACAGGCGGAGGATTCATTTCAGCTTTCTACCTCTCCTTGGGAATGCTGTACATCCTCTGAGTCAACTGGGACCACATAGGAGGTGCTGTACCCGCTGGCACGCAGCAACAGTGAGTCATCCCAAATCTGGGAATGGGTGAATCCATTACTAGAAGCAGCCGGACAGAAATAAGGCAGGCTACAAATTTTAACAATTTGCCAAGCTTCGCAGTTTCTTCTTTCTGTCTTGTGTACAGTTTCTTAATTTCATCTTTAGAGAAAGTCTAGGGAGACCACTGTCATCTTCAATTGTGATACTTCAGAGAAACAGATGGCCCTGTTGAGTGAGCAACCACGAAGGAAAGCTGACAGACCAAAGCAGAAGCGCCCAAACAGACAGCTTGCAAGAGGAAGCACGGGTGTCAAAAATTGCTGAAACATGTTAAGGCAATAACAAATATGTTTTCTTTTCTCCAAGCACCTAAAAACCTTCATCGTGCTAACACCACCTCAGGAAAAATAATGTGTTGTCAATTAGGGCTAAAACATCTGTATCTGCTTTTTTCCCCCCTTGTCCCAGGATACAGGATTAGTTTACCCTTTCTGATTACGCTACTACGAAGCTCAGTGCTAAATTTAGCCTAGACTGTGTAAGGTTAAATTCAGGCCAGAAGATTGGAGGGGGCGTGGGGGGTGGGAAGCACACACAGTAAAATGACGTGAGTATATTCTTTGCCGCTTGGATTAAACGAGTGAAGCTAGAATGGACAGTTCCTGAGACGTTTATTCTACAAAAGGAATGCAGCTACAAAAACGAGCTCCATTTTTGGCAAATCCACACATAACATTAGAGTATCAAGCTTTAACTGATCACCTAAGTTGCACAAGCTGCCTTCTGCTAGGCAATTACAGCAAATATGGAGTTTAGTAAGAGCGACAAATCTGGTTTTTGGTTAAACAGAGCTTTTGCTCATGACATTACTATTAACAGAGAATACCTTTTCTTCATCTAGAATGAGAAGTCCATTCTCATGAACAACAACCCTGTGATGTAAGTTAGGTTGCGAATCTGTGATTGGCCCAAACTCAGCTTCATGGCCAAGTGAAGGCTTCAATAATTTCACAGCGGCAGCATGTTCAGCACTCTCGGTTCCAATTCTCTTAAATTCCTATACCTAAATACCCATATTAATCATGTATAGGCTGCTACTTTTATAACCTAGAAAACACCATGAAAGCAATGACAGAAAGGAGACAGAAATGAAGGTAGCTAAACAATAGAAGAATCCACTAGTATTACCTTCATATATATTTATAGGGGGCTGTGCCAAAGTTTTCATGGAAATGTAATAAAGGCGGCATGACCTTCTTAATATGACCCCAGCATCTGCAAGACACCCTGATATATAATCAAGATGATCTTCAACTCCGTGATGTGATAGAAATAACACAAGTTTGACCAAGCCAGCCAAGTTGCCTTACAAAAATATAATTACTGATCTGCTGGGATTTCTAAGTCAGGCTAATGAAGACTGAATTGCAAGGTTACTATATTAAACCAAGTGGCAATTTCTGACATGTGCTCTTTTAATTCACCTTCAGAAGAACAGAAGAGAGCCAGTGAGGTGTAGTGGTTAAGAGCATGGGACTGGGACTCAGATGATCTGGGTTCAAGTCCCCACTCAGCCATGGAGCCAACCGGGTGACTCTGGGCCAGTCACAGACTCTCAGCCCAACCTACCTCACAGGGTTGTTGTTGTGAGGATAAGATGGAGGAGGAGAATGATGTAAGCTGCCTTGAGCCCTTTGTAGGAAAAAGGCAGGATATAAATCCAAAAACAAACAAACAAACAAACATGCTGCCTGCTAGATATGCAATTAAATCTTGAAAATCTAATTCAACAGCAAGGGAATGGTTAAGCAAATATGGCATCAGCTTCACACATTAGCTTCTTCTAAGCTTCACAGACTTAACACCTGCATTCAAAAGAAGAAGTTATCACAGTATAGTGCCTAGGTGTTAAGTGGCTTCTGCTCAGCAGTCACTCTTACACATATGTATTTGCCAAAGTTCTGATGTTTTAGTGACACCACAATTAAGACATTCCTGTGCAAAAATGAGAAGATGTGAACTTGAAAGCTTCTCTTCTAACAGGGATGACAACTTCTGGAGTTTGGGGGTTACACTGGCTCCCTGGAACCCTGCTGGGTTCTCACTGCTCCCCCACCTGTGGAAGTGGCCGCTGGCTGCTGTTATAATTCTAGCAGAATGGCGCTCCCCAAAGCCCCCCAAAAATGGATTTTTTCTTGTGCTGCCAGGACTCCTATTCTGCAGAGAAAAGAGTCGAAAAACGCAGCCCATGTGCTTTATTTCTCTACGGAGACTGAGTCTTCTTGAAAACAACTGTTTTGCAGAGATGCTGGCACCTGAGTCTGCTGAAAATCAAGGCACATGATCCTAGCGCAACCACTGGGATTTCAGGAATGGTGACAACAGCAGAGACCACGTAGGGGCTACATCAATGGCCACGGCAGGCCACACACAACTCATGGGTTGCCATGACTGTTAAGAGATCATTACTCTGAATAGCAAGGCTTCTACAGATGAGCAACATTACTGATCTAAATGATTCGCAACACAATTGGAAACTCCACGTGAAAAAGGATATAGTGGGTGAACAAGTAACCTGAGAGAACAATAAATACAGTACAAGTACAAACACTATTTCCATTGATGAGGACATGTATTCTTTAATACAAATGTCAACTAAGTCCACAAATTGATGAACAGTGTTCAATCTTAACATTGTTTAGCAGTTATTAAATTTCTAACCTGCCCAACAGCTAATGCTCCATAGGTAGGGCCACAATGGTACAGCTTCAGACCCTTCCCAATTCTAATCTCCTTTAGCAGTGAATGGCACACGGTGGTATTTTCAGAATAAAACCAGAGGCTAAGGTGTTTCACCTCTTTTGTATCCACCTAAACAAATAAGAAGTGACCAAAGGTAACAGATCTACCATTGGC